ACATTTTTTTTTTAATTAAGCAAGCTTTTGTTCTTTGTTATGATGGGAGTGCGCAATAACACAATGTTATTGTGTCTAGGTGACTCATGGGTTTTTGGTAATCATCTCTTGTCTGGCAGTTTTGTATTTTCACAACCTTCTTTTTTTTTTTTTTAAGCTTGCCTCAAAAGACAAAAACATCTGTATTTGGCTCAAAGTTTACTATCTTCTTTTTAGAAAGCTAATGAAAGGTGTCTTGCTTCAATCCAATAAAAAAAGTAATAATAGAAAAGTGAGAGAAATGCCATTTGGTAGGCTAAATGGATGTATGCACGGGATCCCATGCACTGTAAGTGTCTGGCATCATAGCCTTCATGCGATAGATTGAGGAAAGAAGCATTTCCTCAGATCTCTGTTGGTAGAAACCCTATCTCTGTGTCTGTTTCCCTTTGCTCATCATTGCTTTCCACAGATAATGACCCTGCTATTATCACTTGCATTTTTAATTTCCTCAAAGTTATTATAGCAAACTGATTGAAGAATCAAGAGAGACAAACTATGAGCATCTCTTGTGTGCTCAAAAGATTCTGCTCCACAGGACAAATAGATGAGCAGGAGATTAAGGCTCCATGCACACTGGGCTTAAAAAGACACACGTTCCCTTGGCAGAAAAAAAGCTCATTGAGGCTCCATGCACACTAGCATTTTTGAAGCCCCTAGAACAATGGTCTCTAAACTGCGACTCGAGAGCCTGTTGTGGCCCTTTGCTAGCTCTTATCTGGCCCTTTAGGCATTATTGCTCCCACTGATTTGAGGCACTATTCCTAACACTGACACCACTGATATGGCACTATTCCTCCCAATAATATCAATGGTGAGGCACTGTTCCATCCTCTGACACCAGTGATGGGACATCGTCCCATCTACTGACACCAGAGATGAAGCAATTTTTAATCCACTGACACCAATGATGGGGCACTACTCCATCCACTGATACCAATGATGGGGCCCAATTACATCCACAGAGATAGAGATGAAGCAATATTCCATCTACTGACACCAACGATGGGGCACTATTCCATCCACTGACACCAATGATGAGGTACTATTCCATCCACTGATACCAATGATGGGGCCCAATTACATCCACAGACCACAGAGATAGCGATGAAGCAATATTCCATCCACTGACACCAACGATGGGGCACTATTCCATCCACTGACACCAATGATGAGGCACTATTCCATCCACTGATACCAGTGATGTGGCCCAATTACATCCACAGACCACAGAGATAGAGATGAAGCAATATTCCATCCACTGACACCAATGATGGGGCACTATTCCTCCCACTAATATCAATGATGGGGCACTATTCCTTCCCCTGACACCAGTGGTGGGGCACTATTCCATCCACTGACACCAGAGATAAGGCACTGTCCCATCCACTGACACCAATGATGGGCCACTATTCCATCCTGATACCATGATACTATTCCATCCACTGATACCATAGATGAGGTGCTATTCCATCCACAGACACCAATGATGGGGCACTATTCCTCCCACTGATACCATAGATGAGGTGATATTCCATCCACAGACACCAATGATGGGGCACTATTCCTCCCACTGATACCATAGATGAGGTGCTATTCCATCCACAGACACCAATGATGGGGCACTATTCCTCCCACTGATACCATAGATGAGGTGCTATTCCATCCACAGACACCAATGATGGGGCACTATTCCTCCCACTGATACCATAGATAAGGTGCTATTCCATCCACAGACACCAATGATGGGGCACTATTCCTCCCACTGATACCATAGATGAGGTGCTATTCCATCCACAGACACCAATGATGGGACACTATTCCATTCACTGATACCAGAGATGGGGCACTATTCCTCATCCTACTGACCACAGACACTATGCAACTGAACACTATGCCTGAGGCATTGTTTACGATCACTGATGTTGGGCTTGGGGCATTTCCTCCCCCCACTGGCCATAATCCCCCCAAAGTAAATTGTCCCTTTGTTTGGAAAGTTTGTAGACCCTTGTCCTAGAAGCTATTTTCCGCATATTTCTTTTTGCTCCTATAAGCTAAATCATGTTATCTTATGGGTCCAAGCACACTACTTTACTTTAGACTAGTAGCATTTTTTGAGTTTCAGCATCTAGGAGCAGAAAAAAAATTGACTTTGAGTTTTTTGCAAAAAACACCAAACGCTTCTAAACCATTCCTAAGCTTTTTTTCTAGCTTTTTTTTTCCTCTACATGTACTAGAAAAACGCTAATAAAACGCTAACACTCCTAAAAGCTTTTGAATGCTACTAAAAATTATATTACAAGTGTTTTTTTACCACTCGCTAGTTAAAATTAAACTCTAGTTTGCATGGAGCCATAGCGCGTTTTTGTACAGGTGTTTAAGAGAGTTTAGGAGCATTTAGCATTTTTTTTTGGTCAGAAAACTCATTTAAAAAATGCAGACCAGAAGGTTTTTTTTCTGCCTCTAAATGTCCTGATGTGCATGGGCACATTGGATAACATTGAGCTGCTTCTACAACATTGAGCTGCTTCTACAGGCAAAACTCCTGTTGAAGCAGCGTTTGTTTTTTTTAAGCCAGTGTGCATGGACCCAAAAGCTGCAGGTTTAACAAGGAACATAGTGAAAAATTGTTATTTAAACTTGATCGTATCCTTTTAAGAACAACTGGACTATATTAAAGCGATATTAAACCCCAAAATATTTTTTTTTTTTTTTTTTTTTTTTAACATTTCAGTTTACCAATGCATAGTTATATTGGCTGCATTAATTTTTCTTTTTTTTTTTAACCTTTATTTTCACCTGTTGGTCCAGCCAGTAAATCTGTTATTTTTCAACTTTCTTTATCAGACCAAGCTGGTCAGCTAATTTTGGCAGTTAGAGGGTTGATGTAACCCATTTAAAGCGGAACTGAACCTTCCTATCGTTTTCAACTAAGGAGGCTGCTATCTTCGCCTCTGATCTGTAACTGCCATGTGATCAGTTATGACACCTTCCATTTGATGGTTTAACAGTTTGGTTGAGCTTGCAAGCAATTGTGACAACTACATTCCCGACATTTGCTGGGAATATAACTGTTTTTTGAAATTGTTAAATTGATGGGTTTAGTTCCGCTTTAACACTGGCAGAGGTATTTACAATGATCATCTTTTATTCTTTTATGTAAAACCCTTATTCCAAACGAAAAACTGTTGCTGTAACTGCTTAAAAAGAGTTAGCTGGAGTTTGGTTTTGATTTGTTCATCTAAATCTATGCTAGTGCTACCAACAACACTATGCTAGTAACACTACCATCTCACTGTATTGACAGTGCCTGACACTGAGGAAGTGTTACTTTTTTTTTTTTTTTTTTGCTCGCTATAAGTCTAAACTAATGGGCAATGCCAGGGAAATGATTTATTATGTGATTGCTCTTGGGATGTTGAAAATTCTGTATGTGATTTTTCTTGTTTTTTACTGTCAGCATGTGCATATGTTTCAGACTGGAGATTTCCCCATGGTTATGTATTGAGTGCATGAATCAGGTGGGAGAAGTTTAGAAGAAGAACTTTCTATACAGAACCTTTATGCTGCTGGTTTGCAGGATTGGGATGTGGGGGAGGGGGTTGGCAATTGTGGATCCAATTATACCATGAGTTTACTGTAGTGTTCTATTGATGCACATGAATTTTGGAGTATAGCCTTGACTGCTTTATTTTCATATGGATAATTTTTAAAGCTGGCCATACATTATACAGTTTTCTTGTTCAAGCTCCTTTAGATTTACAGTATTTTCTGGCGTATAAGACTACTTTTTATACTTAAAAATATACCCCAAAAATTGGGGGTCATCTTATACGCGGGGTATAAAATGTGAACCTTGAGTTTGGGTCAAGCTGGCTGGATGTGTGGTAATACTGTACATACAGTATACCGTGCTGAGCCAAGCTGGCTAAAAACAAATGTCCCTATGATAGATTAATCTGTCAGCCCGCTGGATGTGCGGTATATACAGTATACTGCGCTGAGCCAAGTGGTTCCAAAACGTACCGGTACGTCCCTACTGTAATCAGCCCGCTGGATGCGTGTATGTACGGTAGCTGCGGCTACATAAAGTATACACTGGGCCAATCTATGGCGAGTGATGTATTCTACTAATGAATACAAAGCCTGCTCGGATTGGCTGAGTCAGAGAGGTGGGGTGATGATGTCATAACCTCAGCCAATCTGAGCAGGCTTTGTATTCATTAGTAGAATAAATTGCTCGCCGTGATTGGCCCAGTGTATACTGTATGTAGCCACAGCTACCATACATACACACATCCAGCGGTCTGATTACCGTAGGGACGTACCGGGCTACGCAGTATACTGTTTTGAAACAGCTTGGCTCAGCGGCAGCGCGGTATACTGTATACATACCACATCCAGCAGGGCTGTATATATACTGTATGTAGCCGAACCTACCGTATTACCGCACATCCAGCGGTAACCATCTGATTTGGAATTTGATCCATATGATGACTGTCTTACAAATGTATCACAAGATGTCATTCATGAACTTATGATGTCAGAGGATGAACATGAGGATTTTGAAGGATCTTAAGTACGGGTAAGTCATAACCATTTCAACTAAAAAATTTGATGTTTTTAAATGGCGTTGCCTCGGAAGGGGGGTAGTCTTATACGGCGAGTATAGCCCAAAACCTATGTTTTAACTGGAAAATTAGGGGGGTCGTCTTATACACCCAGTCGCCTTATACGCCGGAAAATACGGTACTTAAATTATGTAGTGCAGCGGCCTGGCTGATTACATACAAATTGAAAGGGTTTAGGTTTGAATATTATTATATTATATGGTAATGTAAAGGAAAATTGTACAAAAACATTGTATAATATATAGCCAGCCTAATATAGATGTATTTTTATTGGATACTAATGTGAGTCATGTGATATGTTCCCTAATTTTTGCCATTATTTTTTTTCAGATTTTAGTGAAGTTGTGCAACTATGTATCTCCAGCAGAGGAGCTGGCTCAGAAAGATGACCTTCAACTCCTCTTTAGTGCAATAACATCCTGGTGCCCCCCATACAACCTTCCCTGGAGAAAAAGTGCCGGTGAAGTTTTAATGACCATTTCACGACATGGGCTTAGCCTAAATGTGGTGAAATACATACATGGTAAGTAGAAAAATTTAAACTAACTCTGTGACTTTCAGAAAACAATAAGCTGCTGATAGATATGACATGCAGGCATATAAGCCTGTACACATCTGCAGCGTTTCACTCCAACCCTCGGACAAAACTATGGCATTTCCTGACAGTGCTGAAGCTTGCCTGCCCCATCCTGCCTCATGCACATTCCTGTTTGTTAGTGAGGCAGCCCATCATAGTAGAGGGCCAATAGAGGTAAGAGATGTAGAAGGAACTGTTTGCTCTGGTATTTTTAGGAAGCCCAATAACTAAGTCTTCACAAACTTGTTCTGACATCCTACTTGTTGGCTGCCAGTGACCAATGGGAAAGCCTAAGCCCTAATAGGGTACTCCTGTCAGGTGTTTTTTTTTTGTGTCTTCTTTCAGCAGTGCAGTAAGGCTTGTTATTTCAGTCATCTTAGGGATATCAAAGATCACATAAGAGGATTTGGAGGCAGACTTTATGTTTACATTTTCAGTCTTCCATCTAAACACACAAAAGAAATTACATTTCATGAGCCTGTGCTATTATGTGTGCTGCTGAAAATAAAAACTGAGTATCACTAACATTTTGCTGTCTGCTTGAGAAATAACCAGCCTCAACAATTCCTTTGCCTTGACTCCGATTTTTCCACACTGGAGTGACTGAGTCATTCCTCAAAGGAAAACATATGCTGGCTGCTCAGTACATGGAGTTACATAACATAGAAAAGTTGCATGTACTTTTACTGCGTGACAGCTTGGTGTCAAATGTGAACTGCTTTTCCCATGTTTCTTACTTTTTGTCTTTCAGAGAAAGAATGTCTGGCCACATGTGTGCAGAACATGCAACAGTCAAATGATCTGTCTCCGCTGGAAATTGTGGAGATGTTTGCTGGTCTTTCCTGCTTTCTCAAGGACTCCAGTGACGTGTCTCAGACACTGCTGGATGACTTCAGGACGTGCCAAGGATATGTCTTCCTCTCCGACCTCCTGCTGAGGTGAACACTTATTAACAGATTATTCTTCTATTAATCCTACACTTATGATAGGTTATATAAAAACAACAAAATGCCAAAAGGCCAGGAAACCAAGAGTACGTATTGGTTTATGTATGTAGGAAGCTACTAGTGATGATAGAGATGTACAAGTAAATATTTCAAAAGCTTAAATAACTATTGTATACCCATGAACAAAAATTTAATAAATTGCAGTTTACCAGTCCTCAGTTGCAGGTCCTGGATATGTTTTTTTTTTTTTTTTAATCTAATCTAAAAACATTTTAGCAGGTACAGAAAATATATGTTGATCTTGCCAGAACTGGAGTGTCCTTGTCACTTCATGTGGGATGAAATGAAAATGCTATATTCCTTCTGTATCCTACTAATCTTCCCATCACCTGTGGGATGAAAAAAAGCTTGGGTGGAAAATAGTGATGAGCTAAAGTTTAATGTCCTAGGGAGACTACACTTACTCCTTGTAGGGAGACATGGTTGTCACTAGTGATGAGCAAAGGTTTGGATCAAACCCGCAGGAAACTGTCACATGGTAGTGGGTTGATCGGCCCAATCAGCTCTAGTCTGGAAATTCCCCACCCCACAGCTGCATGTAACAAAGGGGTGGGGATGTTGGTGACATCATTGTCTTAATATGGCCATATTTGGTCGTTAACATTGTCCAAATGTGGCCATATTCGGCCAATGATGTCACCAACATCCCTTTTTATGTGTGACTGGGACAGGAACTTCCCCATCTGCAGCTAATTAAGCCAGCGGCCTGCTATTATGTGGCAGTTTCCACTAACCTTAGCTCATCATTAGTGGCAACCATGGCTCCCTACAGAGATACTCTTTAAGACATGAAGTGTTTTATTTCATTCAGCCACCATAATTGAGGATGTTCTTTCATGCTGTGTTGTATATTCAAGAATCACTAAAAAAAAACTGAATAAAAATGACTTTATTAAAAAAGACTGGTGAGCTTCAATAGAACACGTTTGTTTGAAGTTTTAAATAAAGATGTGATTATAGTTGAAGAAATTTTTTCTGCATATAGTTGATATATTTGGAAGACAGGCAGCCTCCAGTAAGCCTAAATTATCCTACAATGGGTGAAAACCGAGAACAGGATGAAATTATAAATAAGATGCCAAGCCTTCTAATGTGTGTTTGCAAATACCTTTTTCAGCTTTTGAATTTGAAGTGTCAGTCTATCTAGAACTGTGCATTTTATCCACCTGAAATTGTATTCACATTTCTTGGGAACCCTATATGGGAGATTTTAAAGTGGTACTAAAGGCTCAAGGTTTTTACCCTCATGCAATCTATGCATGATGGTAAAAAACTTTGTGTGCAGCAGTGCCCCCAACTCCCCAGTACTTAGCTGAGCCCCATCGCGATCCAGCATTGTGCATGCGAACCCCAGCTCTCAATGGATTCTCCCTCCTCATTGGCTGAGACAGCAGCATGAGCCATTGGCTCCCTCTGCTGTCAATCACAGCCAGTGAGAGGGGGCGTGGCTTGACTGCGGCTCTGTGTGCGAATGAAGCAAATAGCAAGTTGTTTGCTCTGGGGGCATTTGGCGGGAGGGAGAGGGCAGGAGTGCCAGTGGGGGACCCGAGAAAAAGATGATTGGGGCTGCTCTTGTAAAACCACTGCACACAGCAGGTAAGTAATAACATGTTTTTTTTTTTTTTTTTTTTTTGCCTTTTTATTATCACTTTTAATTCCTGTGACTTCACAGCCACTGAGAGGATCACACAACAATCCTTGTTGATTTTTTTTTTTTTAAATATATATTTCATATTGAGGAGAATGCAACAGGATGAGTTAAAACATGCATTGTTAGGTGAGAATACTTAGAAATACCCAGGCAGACAGTAACAGTTGGAAATAAAAGTAAAGCAAACTGTGCAAGAGACTAAAGTTTGGGGTGACATCTGGTAAATATTTATTTTACTGGCTGCATTCAATTTTTTTCTAGCAGTAGGGTAATGTTTAGAAGTCCTGTGATTTTGGACTCATTGACATTTATGCTTTAATGAAGTTATCTGCCTGGAATTATCTTTTACCAGAAGGTGTTGGAATATCTAAAAGTAGCAGAAATACTAAAACTCTTTGGTGGCCAGGAACAGAGATGGGAATTTTGACAGGAAGATCTCACTATTGGATGATCTATGACATATGAGAAGCCAGAGGGTGACTTGTCCCACCAGGATTCACCTTAATAAAGTTGTCATTTCTTGGGAAACCTGGTTCTTTTTAAGGGTCTGTCCACCAGACTAGTACATGCAGGCAGGGCATCCTTCCCACTCCTCCCCAGCACATACTGCATTACAACAAGCAGTATGTACTAGGGAGGGGTGGAAAGGATATGACAGTGGGCAGAATGTGCAGGGAAGAAGTGCTGAGGCCAAGACAGTTGACAGTATGTACAGGGAAGGCATGAGGAGGGTATCAGAGGTGGGCAGCATGTGTTGGAGAGGAGTTCAGAGGGTGTGAAAGCTAGCAGCATGTACAGGAGAGGAGTGTGGAGGGTATGAATCCTGGGGTATGACAGCTGCGACAGTGTGTGCGCATGGAGGATCAGAAAAAGTATAAAGTTGAGCAGTATGTGCAGGGGAGGACTGCAGAGTGCGTGACAATTAAGCACTTCCCATCCGGCCCATGTATATAAACAGTCGAATGGGAGCAGTGCAGGGGCGGGTGGCCATTTATAAATGGCCTCCCTGCCCCTTGCTTGTGTGCGCACCCTGGGAGCGCGCAGCACTGCCATCCAGTGCCCGCTGTGTCCTCCACACACAATTTTATACCAATCGTTGTACGGAACCTCTGTGTGAGGTCCCAATCATGTGATCACTTATTGGCCAATCAGTGATCACATTTAGAGTAGTAAGCAAGATGACACTTCTGACGACATTGCTTACTACGTGTGAAATCTGTGAATGATCACAGAGGTCACATGGTACAAGGCTATTCTCAACAGCCTTGTACCATATGACAAGCTGTGACCAATCACAGCTCACACAGTATTTCTCAATGGCTGCAAGAATGCAGTCAGAGAGAAGGAGAAATGATTGCTTTTACTGCCTTTATGGGTGTAAAAGCAATCCGTGTAAAAAAAAAAAAAAAAAAAAAAAAAAAAAAAAAAAATCTTTATAACCCCCCACAAGTAGCACAGTGTCACTATGGTGACACTGTACTGCTATGGTGACAGTATGTAAAATAAATAATATATATAAAAAAAATAAAAATGTAAAAACATTTTTTAAAATTATAATTTTTTGGTTTTAAAACTAATTTGGGTTATTTTATTTTTTTTTACTAAAAAGATAACTGAATACATTTTGGCCAAGATTTATGAAGAAAGATTATTTATTTGCAAAATTTTATAAGAAAAACACTTTTTTAAAAATTTTTGGACATTTTCATTTATATAGCAAAAAAAAATTAAAATCCCAGCGGTGAATAAATACCACCAAAATAAAGTTTTATCTGTCTCAACAAAATGCTAAATAAATTCATATGGGTACAGTGTTGCATAACCGCACAGTTGTCATTCAAAGTGTGATAGCGCTGAAATCTGAAAATTGGCCTGGACAGGAAGGGGGTGAAAGTGTCCGGACTTGAAGTGGTTAAAGTATGACAGCAGACTGTATGTACAGGACACTGTATGTACAGGATAGGAGTGCGGAGGGTATGACAGTGGGTTGTATGTGCAAGAGAAGAGTACAGCAGGTATAATGGCAGGTACAGTATGCAAAGGAATGGTGTTGAGGGTCTGACAGCGCATCCAGTTTTAGGAAGGGGTGGTAGGGAGAGAAACACAATGTATAGACAGGTTATGTAAGATATAAGTAAAGAAATGGGGCACACTTTTGTTGGCCTATTTGACCCCTGATGCCTCCTCTGTGTCCATCAGATACACAGATTGGGAACAGAAATTGCTCTTGCTGGCTATGTTCTGTGACTGTGGGGTACATTTACTGAATCTGGTGCAGCTGTGCACGGTAACCAATCAGCTTCTGACTTCAGCTTGTTTAGTTAAACTTTGACAATAAAACCTGGAAGCTAATTGGTTTCTATGCAGAGTTGCACCAGATTTTGCACTTTACTGTGTTAGTAAATAACCCCCACTGTGTGTGTGTGTTTGAACACAGGATGACAATAAAGTGGGAGAGAAAAGGTAGAGAAGCAGACACACATGAAAAAAATGTTACAATGCTGAGAAAACCCCTCCTGAAGACTCCTGGGTGTATGACATAATTTGCCTAGGTCTGGAAACCATGAAGTATCTGAAGAAATATAAAAACAAAGTTTTAGATAAGTAAATAGAATGTTTTCCTACTGGAAAGTTGAAGAAAAGCCAAAGTCTAACTATTCTTAGAAACATTCTTTCCCCCTTCTCTTACCTATCCAGCCAGATGTGTGTACTTGTCTATCTTTAATCTGCTCTGGTCATGTAATCCTGCACTTCCAGCTCCCCTGTTCCAGTAAGCTGCTGCTGCAGGGGAGAGGAGGGAGCTCTGACAACAGCTGTTGAGTGCTCCCTGAGCTTGAGCTGCGAGATCACGTGACCGGACCAGAGCAGGTTAAAAATAAGTAAGTAGACACTTTTTTTTTTTTTTCTTTTTTTATACAGGGTAGGCAGGATAGGTAGGAGGAGGGGGGAGGGAACATTTATAAGGATAGTTAGCTTTTCTTACACTTCAAATCTATAATACTAATTTTTAAATAGAAAAAATAGGTCAGCAGATCTTGAAGATGCTCTGCCACTTTAACATTTAAGTAACCACTACATGTGTATTGCATTTATTGTACATGTAATGGAAGCAGTACCTTCTATAAATAAAATGTAAAACATGACCATTTACCATACATGTTTACTCCTTTACCAGGCTGGACAATGGAAATAGTATATCAACTAATGTTGTTCCATGAATGGTAAGCAGCTGCTGAGTACAAATGTTAATTATCCTTTTCCATCCCAGATTCTGTAAATC